AAAGGAAAGAAGGGAATGGAATTAATAGGAGAAAATGAAAAAATGGAAACAAAGTCTTTGTAAATAGGGAGGGATGGAGAGGTTGAAGGGAGGGCAGGGGAAGGGGGGAAAACAAGAACCAAGAGAGATTATGTAAAGGTGCAAATTTCCAATGATGAACGTCATTATACTGTTTCCCTAAAATGTACTGATAAAATTCATTTAAAACAATAGTTGTACACAAACAATTTTACTGAGCATTTGGTGAATGGTTTTATCTGCCGAATAGAAGAAAACTGCCCACCCTAGAAGGCGATGTGATTATTAAATACAGTGGCAGTTCCTGGCAGATACTAGGGGTTGCACAAGCTCTCCTTCACATATAGTGGATACCCAGGGGCAAGTTTCATTTCCTCTTGGAGGGAGAGACAGACTGAGATCAGGCACATGGTGTAGAGGGTGATGGAGTAGAACCTGCACCATTTGGGAGCCCGCTCGTCTGAGTTGCTGAGCACTTGAAAAGGTGATGCTGGGCAGTATGGGTAAGAGAAAGGAGTGGGGTCAGGACAGGCGCCCTCGACAGCTGTCACTCAGATTGCCTGAGTTCTTGAGCCACACACGGTCGTGGCATTTTTAGTTTTCCCCTTCAAACCAGTGGTTGTCAACTCTGTACCTGGGGTTCCTGAACCACACGGAGGCCTGGAGTCTGTTTCAGTTCATCTGGGTTGCAGCCCAAACAGGAGAATTTAAAAATCTCCCAGAGGATTGTAAGTCACAGTCAAGGTTGAGACCCACTGCTTTAAACCCAGACAACCAGCTGGTGCTGTCAGAGCAAAGCCTCCCCAGGGTGGAGCCATGCAGAGCCCCGCTCGGGGCCCGCTCTTACCTGCAATACTTGAGAGGAGTCCCGGAGAACTCGCTGCCGTCAGACTCGGGCTCCGACCGGTTCTCAAAGTCAGAAATTCGGAACACAGACAAGCTGGCGTTCACATAGCCAACCATGCACCTGCCGGAGAGCACAGTGTGTAGCCGGGACCCCGAGCACCTTCTCTGGACCAGTTCCCTAGGGACCCCTCTTCCCAGCAGCCCCTGCAGCTGCAAGAGCCTTGAGCTGGCCCTGCTTGGTCACGGGCACTTAGCTGGGCAATGCTGAGGGAGGAGACCTAGGTCTTTTCATGCACAATCCTCACCCAGAACGTCGCTTCCCCCATCAGTGCTTTGGTGAAACACAGCACTGCACCGTGGGCATAAGTTACAAGTACGTCATGGTCCCTTTCATTGAAGACACACACACACACACACACACACACACACACACACAATGCTTGAATATGATTGTGTGCATAAGATCCCCTCCTCAACTCACCTTAGGCTGACTTGTGCTGCACTAGGACTGTGTCGTGTGCTTTCTTGTCTCTGCCCAGCTCGTCCCTTGTGGTGGAATTCCCCACTCCTTTCTTTACAAGTGGAAATGGTTCCCAGCTTTCAATGGTTAAGGAAACACCACCTCTCTGGAAAGACTTCTTGGTCCCCTCAGTCAGAAAGACTCACTCCCTTCTCTCTCCGAGGTGCTGTTGGACTATTACACAGCTTCTACTAAATTTGGCTTCATCTGTGTGTGGCCAACTTCATTCTATGTATTTATTTGTTATTTTTTCTTTGGTGCATGTTTGCAGTACGTAATGATTACATTCCTTGGGAGGAGCTGGTGCATACACATACACATCTTATTCCTTTTTTATCCCCCCATCCTTTATCTCTTGGCTTCCCTCCCTTCCGTAAAATGCTGTATCTGCCTTCCTATTTTTCTTTGGACTGTAGTTTTTTGGGAGCAGAACAGATTTCTTAGCTATTTTTGGATACTACAACCTTACAAAGTCCCATGCCATGTAGAAATCCAGTGACATGGATTTCAATGGAGGAAAACTGAAGTATCAGAGACCCTACTGATCCTTTTAAATTGAATGGCAGATAGAATTGATGATCCTAGCATCCATTCTATCAACATGTCCATGCAATCAATAGCACTTTCTACAAGTCTGATAACAAGAAACGCTCTGCTCTTGGAAATCTTTTATAATGTGATTTAAAAAGTGATTTACAAGTGTGAACACACCCATTCAGTGAAGTGACTTCACATGCAATTAGCACTTCTGGACTTGTATTTAAACAGTGTTTTTTATGCAGAACATTGTCCTGAGTGGATCAGGAGCAACACAATTGTTCAGACTCCTGGGGACACGGTGTCCTGAGGAGCTGGCTTCCACCCTGTCCTGGGAGGAAATATACTATGATACTAAAAGCTTGTGTTTTGGGATTAAATCTTAAACCTTGCGCTTTCTAACCCATAATCTTGGCAAGTTATATAACTTCTTTCCTTTGGTGGTTTTGGGGATCAAACCCAGGGCTTTGCACTTGCTGGGCAAATACTCTACCGCGAAGCTCCGCCCCCGGCCCCAAACAACTTCTTCCTGTTACAAAGATGCCTCTTGCTAAGGTCGCTGTACAATTAATGATGTATTCACAGCATGCAATCGAGTACCAAGCCTACAAGAGGTAAATGTGAGTGTGGATTACTCATTTTATTTATTTCTTGCATCTAGCAGGTGGGAAATAAATAATCATTGGGTGAATGGGTAAATCATAGCCTCAGATTCTCTTCCTTAACCTCTCTGACACACTGATTCCTGAACGTTAAGCCAAAGTGATGGCACGAACTGTTTGGAGAGCACAGGGCTTCTGTTGTGCCCAAGACAGACCCTAGGCTTTACCATGACCTTAAAAGATCGAAAAATGAATGGAGCCAGAGACCCATTGCTCAGGTCACTCCTGGGCTGGGCAGAAGGAGAGCGGGTATGTAGCAAGCTTCGACACTTCTCCCTCTCCGGGAAGGGGTAATTGGGGACCCGGCTCTGCCATCTATGGACTATCTAGAGCTTGCCAGAAATGCAAAACAGCACCATGATGGCTGTCACCTGTCACACCCGTGTCGGTGATGTGCAGAAGCCAGCGAATCCTCTCAGGAGCTCGGCAGTGGAAGGAAAAGGTGTGCTGGAACCCACCAAAGAGCCACATCAAAGTGCAATATTCGTGCCACTGCAGACCCAAGCTTTTGTTAGATTAAAGCAGCTGTCCACTGGCTGCTCTGTCTAAACTCCACTGATAGAATCTAAATTCACATAAAATGCCTGCTTCACGGACGACACCCGCCACGTCCCACCTCCAAACTGAGGAGGACTCTGTGAACCTGATTCTTAAGTCTTCCCTGTAATTCTAGCCACAAATTCACGTGGCCAGCATATCTTAATGGGCACTGCACCTTCTGGATGCAGACATTAAGTATGGACCAATACATAGAGCCCAGGTAGTTGTGGAGGCTGTCTTTCTACATCGCCCCAGAGTCGGAGAAGCAGCACCCGGCCGTCTAGGCTTCCACTCATTCTTTCATCGTGGTAGAATCGTGGCTCTTGGTGGCATCAGACCACGGATTCAGGGAATGGGATTCCCCATACTTTACCATGCAGGGCTGTGCACGTGTCCACCCACTGACCCACTGTAGCAACAGGGGGACAGACAGCAGCAGGTCCCACATCTATCACTTGGCTTAGTGACAAAGCTCTATGGACCCACACTCAGTTCCCAGGGACACAGAGGGACGATGCCTGCCCTGATGATCAGGGAAAAATGAAGGGGAAAAAGTATCAGGCAAAGGAAGGATTTCCTCTGAACATAAAGTTTGGTTTTCTTTTTGGTACCGGGGATTGAACTCAGGACCTTGAGCTTGCCAGAGCTCCTGCCTCAGCCTCCCGAGTGCCAGGATTACAGGTGTGTGCCACCACACCTGTCTTCTGAACATAAAGTTTTAAAGTCAATTTTAAAGGGCTGGCAGGTGGCCCCTGAAGGTATCTCCAAGAAACGTGATTTAGAAAATGTCTTATGTAAGAGTAATGTTATTTGGATCAGGAAGCGTATTTATTTCTAGTAACTTCTGGGACTATCACATTCATTTAGGTGTTTTGATTGCTTATTGTTTTCAATTCTTTACACACAAGAGAAAGGGAGAGAGCAGTGGTCATTATCACCAGTTTTAAGAGAAAGAGCAGACTGGAAATAACTTCTGAGATTGTGGATTTCAGGTCCAACTCACTGAGGAATGTCTTTAAATTAGGTCACCAAATTTGCCTTTGAGTTTTTAGATATTGTGTTGTCAACAGCCTGGGGAAAGGATCAAAGGCTGAAAAAAAAAACTAGTGGAAATAAGATTGGGTTTATGCACTTAAAGTCAAATATAGCTTGATAGATAAGGCTTCCCAGGCTACTGAAGGAGGACAGAAAAATGTGGATTTCTGACTTGTTCCAATAAAAGTATCAAGGGCCAGGGATTTAGCTCAGTGGTTCCGCTGCCTGCCTTGAAAGCCCAAGGTCCTGAGTTCAATCCCGGGTACCAAAAAAAAAAAAATGTCAAATATTATGAATTGAAGAGGAGGGCCTCTGCTCAGTAAGCTTTATTTGTTATTATTTTATTTTTTATGGTTCTGGGGATTGGACCCAAGGTCTTTGAACTGAGCTACATCCCTAACCCTTCTTATTTTCTATTCTGAGACCAGGGTCTTGTTCAGTTGGCCAAGCTGGGGTTGAATTTGGGATCTGCCTGCCTCAGCCTTTCAGAGTGCTCGGCCAGCTGTCAACTTTATTTTTTAAAATGCAACTTTGCAAGTGGTGATGTTTGTCACCGTATTTAAGTGATTCAGAGTATGTACAAACATTATTTATTACTCACTAAGCAAGACACTTCGCCTAGTTCTGTGAAAATTCAAGCACAGGTTCTTGATCAAGACAGTAACTCTTTATGATACCACTGCTCCCACCAGAAATCAGTGTTGCCTTATGTCCAGCCTGTATCCTTATAGAACATTCCAAGAAACTCCAGCCTGTGTCCTCCTGATAAGAAGTAATGAGTTTATTATATTCCAGGGTGGGGGATCAAACTACTTATCAGTGCAGATTGGAAAAATCTTTAGTCTGTTAAAATTGACATTTAGGGGCCGGGGATTTAGCTCAGTGGTTCCGCTGCCTGCCTCGCAAGCGCAAAGACAGAGTTTGATCCCCGGTACCAAAAAAAAAAAAGAAATTTAGCTGGGAGAACACTTGCAGAGCACACACCTTCACACTCATTTCGCCGTTTTTGTCTGTTGGTGTCTGTCCGATTTCCTAAGCTCATTTCTAGAGGCACCTGCAAAGAAGAGGTGGCCTCATTTTGCAAACAATGAGCAGTTTGAGATCCAGGAATCGCCCAGCCAGCTACAGCTGGAGAGAAGGAATGTGCTCCAAGAAAGATAAAAACACATGAAAAATCTTGTGGACCAGTGTGTAGGGAACACTGCCTCAGCCGTTTCTTTTATTTTCAGATCTGGCTGAAAAAAGAGGTTGCCGCCCACCGCCTGCCAGAGCGAACCTGGCTGCTGGGCATACGCAAGAGTAACAGTGTTGTGCACAGAGTGCCCGAGTGCGAAAGACGTGGGCCTGTGTCTCAAGTGGCCGCAATCTGGTCGGGGACAGCATGCACGTAACCGCCAGAACGAGGGCAAGGCAGACAACGTGCTGGCCTAGGGCTGTGGCATTCTCAGTCATGGAGAAGCCAGGGGAAGCTTCGGGGACAGTCAGGAGGAGGTACCAGCACAACCTGGAATCCTGGGGAGGGGTAGGTGATGGGTTTGGAGGAAAATCTTTGGCTTTCGGTTCAATTCAAATTGAAATATGAAATTTCCACAGTTGGACTCAATCCTACATGGGGTTTGACTCCAACTGCATATCCTACTCCAAAAGCCGATGACCTTCTAAAATTTGACAATGCTACCACTCTAAAGGTTCAATCATTTCTAAAGCCTTTCGGAACTGGAAAAAACCAGAAAAGAACTCTGCAGAGTAATGGAGCTGCTACTGGGGCAGAAAATAAGATTCATGAAAAATCACACACATAAATATTACTATTTGAAAACAAGAAAAATGACAAATGGATGAAAATACAAAAGGCAGATTTATCAGTTGAAAGTGGCAGAGGGCCCTTAAGTCGGAAAAATATTTATGAACAAAATAAACGCCCTGAAGAGCCTCATAAAACTGAATTAATGAGGCTGTTAGATAAATTTTAATCGCTGTGAACCTTGTCTTAAACCTAGCAGGCTGCCAAAATTCCAAAGCTTTGATTCATTATCAAGTATGCAGAAATGTTCCCGCTTTATTTTGTGGTTCCCTAAAAAGCAAGACAGCTTGCACCATAATTGGAATTGGGCAAGAATCAAAAGAACCCCTTAGACTCAAAGCCCAGGGTGCTGAGTTCCCTGATGGGCTCAAACAGCTGTCCCGACTGCCTTCGGATACTGGATTTACCCTGCTTAATCTCCTCCTGCTCCCACTCACAGTGAGTATGATAATACTGTCCATCCACTGCCAAGGTTGTTTTAAAAATCAAGTGCAGGACATCTGTGGAAGTGGCTCAAACAAAAGCAGCTTTTAAAGTCTTAGATGAGCAGAGAATGCTGACCACAGTTGCTAACAGAAAGGAATGCTTGGGTGGAATAAGCTAAGTGCTTAAATTTCCCTCACAATGTGCTGGATTCTCACTTTCAGTTGCTAGGTGATCTGTTTAACAGCCATCTGCTGTGGTGGTGAAGAACGTCCTAGAAGCACCTTCAAGTAGCAGGAGTGAGAGCTTCAGCACATCCCACCATCATCTCCATCCTAGTGCATTTGCACAGGGTTAGTAATGAAATTGGATGCCAGCAAGGTTTGCTTAACGTAACCCACTTGATTTGGTGGTGCTGTGCTCTGTGAGCCTGTCCAGTGATAATGGCTCTAGGTGAATTACTTTGGCTAGAGTGCTGAGCCCTGAGGCCAGACTGTTCAGGCAGCATCCGGTGTGACAGGACATCTAGGCCATCGTTAAGATCTGTGAACCCCTTCCCTCAACCCTCATACATCCAAATCTTACAATTTTGATTTAGGGACTTTTAAAGTATGTTAAGACTTTGTGTCCTTTTTCCAAGATACAGAAATGAAAGCTAGGTGACAGGTTATAATGTTGCATAGGTTTCATCCTGAGCAGTTTGAGGACACAGGATTGTGCCCCAATTCAACTTAGGAAATACAGGCCCCGGTCAAGTTGGTAGCTAGAAAAAAATCATTCGCTTGCTTATTTCACAAAATACCTACTTGGTATTAGGCGCATGGTTGCATTTTCTCACATAAAATTTGAAGAATTTACATATAATGACACATTGCCCATCTGTAAGTGTCCTTTCCAAACTCACAGCAATGCCGTAACTATATAATGAATCATGTACCGCTTCTCGGACCACTTCAGGGTTCTATGTATTTCTGAATTCATAATGCGCAAGAGAAGTGTGCAAGAAAAAAAAAGTTAATTGCTGCTCTCACATTGAATTCCATTTAAAACCTGCCTGACTTGTTTGGTCCCCAAGCATTCAGTACATTCTGGGCTGAAAGTGTAATTACATCCTAATTTCACCTCCTCCACCAAAGACCTTCTCATGTTGGCTCACGAGCTACCCACCCCAGCGCAAGGGCTTTTTGCCCAGGGCCCCACACCACACAGTGGCTGGGAGATTTCACAGCAGTTTTACAGGAAACTTACTTTTGCCCAGCTTCCCCTTGGCCTGCACAAGGTCCATACTTATAAGCATACACCAAGCGAGGGATGAAGTCAGATGTTATCGCTATGACGAATGCATTTGTAATGACAGAGAGAATTCCGATGCCTTCCAGAATTCCATACCAAATTCCTGTTCAAATACAAGCATGGAATTAGTTCCATATACGACATCAGAGGTAAGAAGAATGAAAACAATGAGGGTAACTCATTTTTTATGGTCTTTTCCACTGGTCATTTCTCTTTCCAAATACTGGCCCTTGGCAGAGGAGTAAGATTGTGTGCTTCCAAACACGTTGGCATTGGAGGAGGTGCTGTGACAGTGCCAGCGTACACACAGCTGAGTGGCCAGGGTCACACGTAACTCAGAGAACGCTGGTCAGCGGTAAGGCTGCCAAACATCATCTGGTGACAAGCACTTTCAATGCCAAGCTGCCACCAGACTGGGAGCTCCTAGAGGGTTTGGACAGGGTCCCTCCTATTCTTCTTGGCTCGTTTCATAGGGGACTATAAGTCACTAGGAGAAGGAACACTGTGTTCCGTTCTCCTCGACACACACACTAGTACCTGTATGCTCTGCCCTCAAGAGGCTGCATCTGACTCAACAACTCTACTCAGTGACCAGAGCTCATCTCTGTCATTAGAAAGACAGACTTCGTGTGAATCGAACACGTTTAGGAAAGCGCAAAACAAAGTGAAGCAAAATGGAAGATCTATTTCAAAAAGTGATAATAAATCACATCTTTACTCTAAAGCCTTAGAAATAATGAGATTGAAATCTATTGATGCACAAATTTCTCTAGCACTGGAAATTATAAATTTCCAAAAAGGCAGCTTTACTTCTTGCCTAGTATAATTTTAAAAATAATATAATTATTTATTGCAAAAATTAATTGAGTTATCTTACACGGGGACTATAAGAAAAACCTAAAGTTGGTATTTTCTTAAGTTTTACCCACAAGATGGTTAATATCTTGTAAAAAACAGGTCCAAATCCAACTTACCTATGTCTTTGGCCCTTGAAGCCAGAGGTCTCCTCCACTGTGTGACAAATTTGTAAGCATCAAGTCGAATTTCAATTATGTTATTCAGTAAGGCCAGAAGTGGTGCTAGGGGAAAAGCTGCCACAAAGATAGTTGTGAATCCAAACTGGAGAACTACAGAATTAAAAAGGAAAGAGAACAAAAAAGTTGGTTTCCCATTGCTCTTTCTTTCTTTCTTTCTTTCTTTTGGTACCAGGGATTGAACTCGGGACCTTGTGCTTGTGAGGCAGGCAGTGGAACCACAGAGCTAAATCCCTGGCCCTCCATTGCTATTTTCAAAAGGATAAGATCTACACATGCTATTGTTTTAAGTCATATTTTTTTGTGATACAGAAGCACAGGAGGCAGCTCTTGCGGAAAGGTGGCTGGGACACTGGTCAAAGAGGGACTTCCTGGGCCAGCAGCAATGGTGTTTTGGGAACAGGGAGCCCCAGTCAACAACTTAGGACCGGATATTGTTTTCTAATTACCATTCTCTAACAAGGAATGCTTCCAGGGCCTCTTGGTGGGAAGTGTCATTACAAAGTGTGGTAGAGAAATACCAGGTGAACCTGGAATGTTTTGTGATGCCAGGAAGTAAGGAAGAGCTCCAGAGTTCTGGGGATGTGTCTGAAAGGAGAGAGGTCAAACTGGAGCATACTCCTAATGGCCATAGCTGGAATAATTTGTGCAACAAAATGAATAAAAAGAGCATTGGATTATAACCGAAAGACTAAGCTAAACCCACACTGATATAAATATTGATATAAAAATAAACAGATACTGGCCGGGGATTTAGCTCAGTGGTTTTGCCGCCTGCTGCAAGGACCCGAGTTCAATCCCCGGTACCAAAAAAATAAATAAATAAATAAATAAACAAACAGATACAATTAAATACTAGGAAAATGGGGGAGAGGGGTAGCTCTTCCTCATGGTGGACTTTCAATTCATAAATGTAGAAGGAAGGATGAAAATGGAAAATCACCATTAAATACCACAGTACTATTGCTGCAGGTAAGAATCAGTGATGAATGCTAAAATTAGTAGGGGAAGAATATTGAAGAAAACTAGGTGTTTGTATATGAACAGTACTGTATGTTCTCCCACGGACTTATTAATTACAATGAGAAGAACAGTATCTTTACATTGGAAAACCTGGTAGAAATCCCCTCACCCAAGCGATCAATGTTAACATGGGCAATACCAAGCTATTCTGATGACACAAAGCCCCAACAGAGCGCTTTTCATTCCATGTCCCTTCTCGCTTCACTCTTCTCTCACAAAAACAAGATCTGGGGGACCTCCACCTTCAGAACCGAAAGTTTCCAAGTCCCATCAATTACCCTTCAAAAACACCTCGTTTCTCTCTCTTCTCCACTGTCCCTACTTCAGTCCAGGCTCTGATTTTCTAACTGGCTCTCTGCCTCCGACCTTCACACTCCCCTTGTTGTCAGTGTAAATAAAATGTTGGTTTGAGCCCAGCCCACCCACTGCTCTTTATCTCTAAGAGATAAAGACACAAGATGTTTCAGGAGTCCTCACTGCCTCCAGAATAAATGCAAACCACCACACCATTCAAGGAGCTCAGTAATTTGATTCTACACAAACTCCCAAGCCGCATTTCCAAACACCCACCGTTGCCCAGCCAGGGCTCCCAAGCAAGCCTTTCCTCTGGGTTTACCAGACTTCTGGTTTTACGTATGCAGCACCTAATGTTTCTGTAGATAGACTGATGAAATTCTCCTCTTCCTTCCAAGGCAAGCTCAAACGCGCCCTCTTCTGGAGCCTTCTGATAGTACTGCCTCCTCTATAGCTCCTTCACCTCTCTTGACCACCTTAGAACAAACTGTCTTCATTTTATGGCTCCCTGTCTTTTTTCTCCATTGCGTCGGGCTTCCTGAAAGTAGGAATGGCAAATTCTTTGTGTTTCTATTTTCTACACACTTGCTACAGTGATTATGTGTGTAGAAACAACTTGTCAGATATCACACAATACGATTTAGTGACTGATATGTAATTACAAGAAGGAAAGGCCAGGAAAGCAAAGAAAACCTGTCAGATGGAAACAAAACTGGCAGAGATCATTCTTACAATCAGTAAGCATACTGGGTGTGATGGATAGAAAAATTCAAGACTCTAACATTGAGTTTATGATGAAAACATCTGCAAGATGAAAAGGAAAAAGAAAATGTGTTTAGTTAATTTTTAGTTTTTGTGTATCTGAACAAAATGATTGCTTTCACATAGCACAGATGTGACCTGGAAGTTCCTGGTCTTGAAGTGATGTCCCTGGCTGCTACTTTCTCAGTGTGGTCCAGGGACGAGGTTTATCATAGTGCACAGAAGGATAAACTTGAGGCATCCGTAGGAAAATGGATGCTCCCGGAGACCATAACGTGAAGTGAAATAAATCACACATACAAGCTTAAATAGTGCATGGCTTCTCTTATATGAGAAACCCAAAGTATAAGTACAGAGTGCAATAAAGCCACATAATAGGAGGGAGGGAGATAGATCTTTCTCAAAGGGGAAGGGGATCAAGCAATGGAGGGAGGGGAGGGAATAGAGATGAAAAAGGAATTAACATGTGTTGTTTATGCGTGCCAGCTCCACGAAAGGAATGTAAACATTATGCAGTGCAAACATGGACTAATAAAGAAATAAAATGGAAAGAAATGTGAAAATCTTTGAAATATTAAATAGCACAGAGAACTGGGTAACAAACTTCCATGTACCCATGCAAGAATTACTAATAAGTCTCAGGAGCACTTTGTCATACTTGATGCATAATTTTTAGAAATGAATGAAATTCAGAGATGAAGCTGAAGCCCCTTTATTTCTTTTCTTGAGGGGGCTCCTCACCCTTCCCGGAGGTAAACACTGCTGTGAATCTGGCAAGCATCCTTCTGGGTCACTTGTTCACGTACATCTCCATGCACATCTCCACAAATTACACTCGATGTGACTATAATGTAAATAATATTACTCTTAAAAATCTTTGCCCTTTTCAGTTCACGTTTTTGAGACATTATCTTTAAGTCTGCAGATTAAGTTCATCATTTGAATTGCTTTATATTTAAATACATGGAAGTGCTTCCTTTTCATGTACTCTCTCCCAGACACAATCTCATCTACTAGTGCCTTTTCTCATTGCTTCTCTATTCTTTTATACTACAAAATAGGAAAAGTAAAAAATCTGTGATTTAAGCTTCCACCTGAAGATGTTGGAAAAGAGAAGAGAAAATTAAGTTAGAAGGAATTATAGGAAGGAAATAAGGATGAGAACAGAAATTAATAAACTAGAAAGCAAATGTATAACAGAAAAGTTAACAAAAAAATCTGGTTGGTTTTTGAAAAGATTAATAAACTTCTACCCAGAAGGTTAAAGAGAAAAGAGAAACAAGCACAAACTATGAAATTATGAGTAAAACAGTGGGCATTTCTATAGACCTTATGTCCATTAACATTAATAAGGGTAAATTAGAAACAATTTCATGCCACTAAAATTGAAAATTTAGATATAATGGATAAATTTATTGAAAAACACAATTAAAACACAGCTTTATAAAATAGGCACTAGAACAAAAATAAAATCAAAATAGTCCAACATCTACTAAATATACAATTAAAAACCTTCCCACAAAGAAAATTCAGTCCAGCTGACTTGGCTGGTGAATTGTTCTAAATACGTAAGGAATATTAGTAGTACACAAAGTAAGAAACTAAAAATGGGGGACAAACTACCCAAATCATTTAAAAAGACTATCATAATGATGATATCAAAATTTGAAAGAAATGTTACAAGAAAGGAAAGCTGTAGTATGTCATCCATAAACTTATATATAAACATCATAAGCAAAATATCAAGTTCAATGGCAATTAAAGAAAAGAATTATATGTCATTACTAAGTGGGTAATTTTTCCAGTTGGCTAGGTTTGTTTAATAACTTTGACATCCAAAACAATCAACGACAAGCCACATAACCATTTCAATACATTTAGAAAAATTATTTGATAGAATTTAATAGCTACTCAGGAGAAAACCGTCAGCCAACTAGAGACACAAGGGTACTTCTTTCACCCAATAAAAGACATGTACCAAAAATACAGCTGGCACCAAATTTCTGTAACATAGTGGACACTTTTACTCTTGTATCAGGAAGAAGAATGTCCAATGTAACTATTTTTTTTTTTGTACTGGGGATTGAACTCGGGACCTTTTGCGTGTGAAGCAGGCGGCGGCACCACTGAGCTAAATCCTGAGCCCCAGTGTAACGACTTTTATTCAGCATTATAGGACGGTCTTAATGCAATTAGACAGGAAACAAAAAAAGTATAATGATTAGAAAAGAAAAAGTTATTTGTAGATGACATAATTCGATACATAAAATCTAGAAATACCTGTAATTAATATTACACTTTGCCAGATTTGTGTGATACAACGGTGACATAAAAACCAATGATAATTTTATACACCACCAACAATATATTAGGAAATAAAATTGGATGGGGTGCATAGCTCAGTGTTACAGGGCATGCTTAGCACACTTGAGATCCTAGGTTCAATCCCCAGCACCAAAAAGCAAAACTAAACAAAACAACAAGCACCCTTCCCAAAAAAGTATAAAAAAGCAGAATTTGCAATTGCACTAAAATTCATGAAGTCCCTAGGAATAAATCTAACCTAAGTTACCAAAACCTCTGGCTTAAATCTACAAAACATTCCTGAGAGGAATATAGAAAGCTGAATAAGTGCAGCGACATACCATATTCATGAAGTGGAAAATGTATCAGTTTTCCTTGAATTGTTCTAGAAATTCAATTTAATTCCAACTAAGATCACAGTAAGAGTTTGTAGAAATTGGAAATTTTTTCTAAATCTTACCTGGAACCAATTTGAAGAAGACCAAAGTTGAAACTTCTGTTCATTTCAAGACATCATTAAGAGAATGAGAAACTAAGCCACCAACCATGAAAGACTATTTGCAATACAAATATCTGATAAAGGACTCACATCCAGAATATGTAATTTCTATAATTCATAAGAAAAAGACAGGTACCCCAATAAAAGCATAAGATTAGATGAGAATTCACTAAAGACGATATCCTAATGACCATAAGCATGTGAAAATGACATCACCAGTTGTCATAAAATTTCAAATTAAAACCATGATAAAACACTACTATATATCAACTAGAATGACTAAAATTTAAACACACCCTACCAACTGTTAGTAAGTATATAAAATTAAAAATTGTTCGCAATTTTCTATAGCAGATGAACAAACACACATCTTATGGCCTAGTAACTCCATTCCTACACACCTGATAGAAATAAGTATATATTATTGGCAAAATCTCATCTCAAAATAAAAAATAAAACAAAGATGGAGGTGTAGTTCAATGCAAAGGCCCTGGGTTCAATCACTGGTACCACAAACAAAACAACAAAACCACCACCACCAAAAAATATATGAAGAGAAAGGTTCAAAGCACTATTATTTGAAGAGCCCAAACCTGGAAAGAAATCAAACATCTCATCTGCAGAAAGATGCATTTACATCGGTGTGTTCTTGCGATCAGAAGCCACCCTAGAAGCCAGGCGAACTCACAAAATGGTTCACATACTCACGTACTGACGCCTGCATTTACACAACGAATTCTGCCTTTTTCTGACTCAAGCATAATAGAGGGGTTGCCTTTAATTAAAGTGCATCTATCTAGCACATTGATCCTTATTGGTATTCAGGAATGCATTTTATGACACGGGAAAGGTGAAGGGAGTGGAGTGGTGGGTATCTCTCGCTAGGGTGGGCACAGCTGGGAGAGCTGGAGCATATCTAGGAATGGACGTGCAAAATACTCATCCAGTTAAAAGGAAAAATACAGATGGATATCAGGCTCTGCATGTCTCATAAATTTGCTTCAGGTTTACATTCTAGGAACATTATACAGCAATGAAAATGAAGTTCTACTACCAGTAGCAGCATGGAAGAGTGTTATAAGCATGACACTGAATGAAAGCAGCCAGCTTCAAGAGTACATGCATTACAATTCGGTTCATACAGAGGCCCAAGAGGCAACAATCTCTCATGTTAGAGGTCAGGAAAGTGGTCAGAAAGAGCGTGACGAATGGGAGAGGGTCAGTGGAGCCTTTATTGGTGCTCACAGTATTCTACTGCTCGGTCTACCTCACAGGATGGCACACCTTTCCTCTTATGTGTCAACAGTGAATATTTCAGGCTTTAAAAGCTACACAGTCTCTGTCACAACTACTCCACTTGCTGTTACAGTGCAAAAGCAGCTACAGCTGACATGTAAGTAAGCAGTCACCGTTGTGTTTCAAGAAAACATCATTTACAAAACCACACACTGGACCAAATTTGCCATGTGGGGCGTAGTTTGCCAACTCCTCATCTGTACAGATTTACTTATCTTTGCATGTTAATTTGTGAAAATTCGTGGATCTGTACACTTGGGATTTATGTAACTCTTCTTGCTATGTGGTTTAGTGAATTATATTTTTTAAAATATAACAAGTAGAGAAGTAATATGGAAAATAAAATCAACAAGAACAGAAGTGAGCAGTTAGAATTCACTTGTCTGCTTGTGCTGCTTCTCGTTACTTATTTTGTGCTGCAAAGATGGTGCAGTATTTGGAGCACTGCCGATTCGAGCCACAGAAATGCTTTTTTTCAAGCACTCTATATAGCAACAGTATCATTCACTTTCTCCTTTACCGGATAAGAGCCTATTAAGAAACCTCAAAGTGGTTATTTCTCTTAATGAATTCTCTTTATTAAGTTTTATTATTAATGCCCAAATCGATTTCTTTTCTAAATTCTCTTATGTTACCATTCTATAATTGAAACCCTGAAAACATCAGCAGATACTTAGGACATAAGCAATCTAGGAAACATTAAACATCAATTCTATTAGTTTTTTAATTTTCAGATTTGTCCAGAAAGAACAGTTTCCTTCAGAAGTAATGGACCTTATATTCCACTAAACATAATTTTTAAAAATAAAATAAAATATATACATAGGGCATCTGCCAAACAATCATATGATCTTTCCCCCCAGGAGATAAGAATATAAAAATATTAATAACAATATATCTAACACCACCAAGTGCATACGATAAGCCAAGCATTCACTGTCCTAAGCCTTCCAGGCACTAACTCATTTAATCTCCCCAGAGACTCAGTGAAGTAGTTGCTCTTGGTATCATCCCCACTTTAGAAATGAGGAAACTGAGACAAAGAGAAATTCAGTGATGACCCAACATTTCACTATTAATAAATGATAAGCTGGGATTTGAACCCAGGAAATTTTCTTCCAAACCCCATGCTCTTAGATACGTAAGAGAATTAACTTGGGTTTGAATCTAGAGACATCTGATTCCTTAAATATAAGGGTTTATGCTTCATATCTAAATGTCTCCCTAAAGCCTCATGCACTCATAGGTGGCGCTTTTGGAAAGTGATGGATTATTGGAGCTCCTAGCTGACTTGTGTTAGGAGGTGGAGTCTATTGGAAGAGGCGGGGTCATTGTGGGCATGGTCTAGAAGGGTTTATCTCCCTCCCCAGCTCCTCCCTTGATTCTCTTCTTCCTATCCCTCATACCGTGAGCAGCTCTCCTCCTCCAGACACCTCTGCCATCCCTTTCTGCCCTGGAGCCAGGGGACTATGGACTGAAACCTCTCAAACCATGAGCTGAGATAAACCTCTCCTCTTTTAAGTTACAGGTGTTGGATATTTGGTTCTAGTAACAAAGAAAGTGACTAAGACATAAGGGTGACACAGACTAAGCATTCCCAGCTTCCAGACACTTCCCTCTCACAACAGAAATGACTTCCCTCCACTATACCTCCTACTCATCCATGATGCAGTGTATATGGCACTTTACTGCACGTATTCTTTATATCTCTGGTTCTCCCCCATCAGCCCACATGGTCTTTGAAAGCTGGTAATGCCATCTCATCTACCAGCATTTAAGAAGCCCCAGTAGATGTTGGCTGAGTAAGTGAATCAATCACACATGAATGGTAATTCCTTTTTTTTTTTTGGTGCACCCAATTTTCCAACTCATTTTGTTTTCTGGTGACTCAGTGGAAGGGACAAGACACAATGTCATGAAGAGTGTAAACAGGAGGCCTTGGGCACCATTCCTGTAGACTAAGCATCTTAAGTGAAGACCCTGCTTTGTGTTTAGCTCACAAATTTCCACCCAAGGACGGCCCTCCTGATGAGTCTGTTTTGTTGAGTGGAGCTACACATTTAAAAATTGCATTTATAATCAAGAGGGTAAAGCAGAATATTTCCATACTCATTTCCAAGTACTCATCAAAGAGTCCGTAGGCATTCATTGGCTGAAGGTTGTAGTCCTTTTCCCACTGTGGGAAGTTGATTTTCCTCTCTGGCCCATGTTCTTGTCGTACTTTTCTTCTAGTCCACCAATTCTGAATTAACCTGTGTGACAAGATCAGTTTCTTACAACAGCAAAATGACAATGTCCATGAGATTTAAATGATGTGAAAAAAGGAGAATTAGGATTGGGAGCCCTATTTTAAAAAGAAACAAACTCAGGACAGGCAGGAAACAATGCCTTGGCTTAGGAAGAAAATAATCCTGAATCCCATACTTCAGACCTTTCTACTTGTGAGTAGACAGAATGAGTGATGAGCTTATTTTCCCCATTTGTGAAGCAGTCTCGTGTTTGGTGTAGCCTCAAGGGCTGGACAGAGGACTGAGAGGACCTATACTCAGACTCTGGGGTCCAAGGCAACACCCAGACACGACAGGAAGGTCTTGCGTGGGTGGCTTCATGTAGCAACCATAAGCAGTCTTGTCACGTGGTGGTGACCTGCATATTCTGATGTCAGGGACCTAGAAAATCTGCAAACCCACACAATGGTTCCTCTTCTGGCACATGGATGCCTGCCATTCTACAACTGAACTTTCCTGCAATGTGCTTACGCTGGTCAGGGCCTCTGACTCCTATGGAAATGCACATTGCACTGGCAAGGCTCACAGCCTCGTCCTTCTCAGCACACTGAAGCGCATTTCATAACAAACATGGGAAAGGCTTGAAGACAGGCAGCAGGAAGAGCAAGATCTGGGTTACCGGAAGTGGAAATGCCAAGGAGAAATATGTGACATAAAGGGATGAGGGTCAAAGACAAACTCTCCTTACTTCACAATTTCTTCTCTGTCTGTATTACTAGAGGTTAAAATATATTTCTTCAGATGTTCATGACATTTTGATTAATTATGGCTTATGCTTTAAGGTAGAATATCATGTTTCTAATTTTTTATGTTTTTAAAAAAGTTTTATAGAAAATACTTGGGGTAAGATATCTAAAAATAAATCTGAGAATAGGAAATTACTAGCCAGCTGGTCGTCCCAGCTGAGTGGCCCACTCTTTCTCCTTGAGATTCACAAGTTCCTGAGACCCTGAGCTGACTGAAGCAGACTTAGAAGCACTGCTGAGTTACTCACGTTCCCTGAGACTGAACTGACCAGAACTGAGCACTCACAGCAGAACTCAAGGTCATCTTCACAAAGGAGATGCAAGTTTTTGCCCAAAGTCAACAACAAAAATTAACACCAGGTGATTTTTTTTTTTTTAGGAGTTAAACATGCTAACTTAGAAATACTCCTGTTTCTTTTTTAAACCTCTGAAATTTTCTCCTTTCCATAGACTCTATTTTTCTGTAGTCTGAATTCAGGATTAAAAACAATGAGCACTCCGATTTATCCAGGAATAGGGAAATGGAGATCTTGTTACTAAATAAATAGCTAGGGACTTGCAGTGCGAAGCCCTGTGGGTCAAAGGCATCATTTAAAGCAGCTGGTAAGGAAGTCTCCAATATTTAGGGACCTCAGAGACTTCATAAAGAACAGCCAGGTTCATTCACGTGAATTGTGCTAAATCTGCCCAAAGAGCCAACGTGTATTATTTTCCTGGCCGCCCTTGAATATTAACAGCTGAGTCTGCATTGCTTATTTTACTTGCCACACCCAGAAATGCCAGTCCTGAGTAATGCCACCTGTGAGTTAAAGAGATCCAAAGTACTTACGGGTAGCCAAGTTCCATAAAATTATTCCAGGTCTGCTTTAGCACCATTATGATACCCATTTGCATACACAGATCAATAAGGCATCCACTAGGGTGGCACTGCAAGGCAAGCAGACACAGGTCTGAGAATCAGTAGCGAGGAAGGCAGGGGGTCTGGTTGCCCAGGACACGAGGAAGGGGGAGGAGGGTAGGATACAGACCTCTTCTAGTCTCCACCTGTTTATCAGCCTCAAGTAGGCACCTGGGTGTCCTGTAAATCTTCAACACACACAGAGAAACAAGGGATTAGCATTGCGTCGGCCACAATCTGAACTTTCCACGAGTATCTCGTTCAGTTTAGCACATTCTCCGAAGTGAATTATGGCTACAGCTAAGCGTCAGGTTGGAAGGAATTACGACACCCTCCAGAGCTGCCACAATGACAGCCTCTGGAATTCTCCAGGGGACATTTCTCCTCTGGCCTTTTTGGCCAGCTGTTGACTGTTAGGGCCAATTCCTGCTGTTGGTTGTGACTTTTGACATTTCCTACTGCACATCAAGGGCTCAGGCCTGCGGAAGCAGCAGCATTCCTCTTGCATTTAGATACGTTTGATCTTCCTGAATGACAGCAATACAGTTGTTTTTAAATCACCAAACTGGCCAGAAGCCTTGCTACTGGAGCAGCTACAAACTAAGGAGCAGCTGCTGCGCGTGTCTCACCAAAACCCTGCCCCCGCCCTTCCCAGTTTCCCAGCTTCTCCTGAGGCTTCAAGGTGGGACTCTCCGGGCACCCAGGATCCCCTGCGTCCATTTCCACCCTGCTCCTGTTGGGACATCATGTGCCTTTCTGTGGGGTGACAGACCTAAAACTGCTGCAGGCCACGCCCCCGTGCCCCCTCTTTGCAGGTGCGAGAGAGACCCGGGGCCATTCAGGAAGTTTTCAGCCCCTTCTCTGGTGCAAAGCGTTTCCTCCACTTACTTAGCAGTGAAGGTGTCCATGGCATGGCCTGCGAGGTGGCTGTGAGATCTGGGAAATGCCACTTTACATAGATCACCCTAAAGAACAGTCCCTGTCACCCTGGCGAGTGCTGTCCGACCTGGTCTGGGGAGGTGAGGAGAGGTCCGATTCTTACCTTCCGAGGAAGAACGCGATGTAAAACGTGGAGCTGTTCAGATTGACAAACTGAAAAAGAAACATTTTCAGGGTGAAGCTGTTCTCCCACTCGGACTCTGTGCGAGGCTGTTCTGTGGACAAGAGCAGAGTTTGAGAGCCTGGCTCGACTCCTCTCCGCTCCCTCTGTCCCCCCATACACACGGTGGGAGCGGAAGGGTTCCTGGAGACTCCAGCTGTCTGTGCACAGAGGCGACAAACCAGTCATCCAGGAGACAGATCCTAAATCCAGACCTCGCGGGAGTCTGGTGGGGCGCGGCTATGCTGGGAGAAGGAAGTGAACCCCACACAGCTCCTGAGTTAGGGGACACCCGGAGAGGCATTTCGGGCTCTCTGCTACTGTAGGGTGGGGCCTGGGCGGAGTCAGGGCCTCTCCCAGCTCCGGAGGACTCCTCAGTCTGGACTCCTAGTTCTAGAGCTACGCTAGGTACTGAACATCACAGCAGGGAAGTATTCTACTCCTTTGTCCTCAGCCACCGCCAGCCAGGCTCAAGGACCAGCACCAATGAGATGGCCTCTTTAGAGTTTTCCCCTGTGTCATCACTGATGTCCTACGAATTCACCCTCGTCTCCTCGTGGTTCAGCTTCCATCAAACAAACGTTCTTTGCACACCATGTTGTGAACCAAAATATGGATCCAGTTGCCCTCAAGGTCAGCCTCCAACTTGAAAGCTCACACCAGGCTCGGCTCTTGTGGGCTTCCCTAGCACCCGAATCCTCACCTCAAGAAAGGTTAAAGAAAATGCATTGACGGCAATAGCATTTTCTCTCTTTCCACATTGCCTGAGCTTCTACTTGCTCATCTAACACTTCACCCCATCAATTCCTTTTCCATGAATTTAACTCAGAATGCTTCCTGGGAGCGCATCTGAGAGGGAAAAGGGAGAAAGCAAGAGAGTCTGATTTAAAATGGTTTCAATGTCAGGCTGTAGCGCTGTCAAGGATGGAAAGAGAAAGGATTCTTAAAGGGGTTTAGTTCTATTTTGTTTCTGCTAACTGAACTGGTGTTCTGGGTTGCCAGCCAGGTGGGTCCCCAGGTGTCTGACATGGGGAAGGACAAGGCTACGTCTCCACCGGCATTTTGGGTGGCCTGGGTCAAGGGGCCAGCTGGGCACAGCCCGCCAACGGGCAGTCACCTCTCCTGTGGACACAAACCTCTGTCTGGGGGAATGCAGGGTGCCATGGAAGATGTTAATGGCAGAAAGGAGACAGTGAAACAGCTGCCCTGTGTATGGCACACAGCTCAACAAATGGCATCTGTTAGTGTAATGTGGATGATAAATAAAATACTTTGCATTCTGCCCCTGATAAGCTACATATGGGAGAGCAGAGAAGCAAGTTAGTTGCAATTTTATCAAACTGCTTAATGACCTCATTCATAAAATCAATCACAACTATTTCCATGTCTTGAAAATGTGGCAAATGTAAAGTTTGTATCAGGTCAGCAGATTGTTCTAGTGTTTTATCCGATTGAGGTAATGTTCTTCTAGGTCACTAGTCTAGATCAATGTTGTATCCAGTCGTGTATGTCAGTGAAAGTTGGCCTGTCTACATTCCTGATTATAAGGCTCACAGTCTTCAAAGCAACCAACTTCGTGGTGATTTTTATATACCAGGAAAACAGGACACTTTGGTTTCTGAGACAAGGTGTTGCTAGATGCCCATGTTGGTCTCAAACACCCAGGGTTACACAATCTGCCTCCTGAGAGGGTGGGACTGTACAAGTGGCCCACTATGCCAGCTCAATATATGTTTAATTAAAAACTGTAGGTAAACACCAAATAAATACTTTTCTAAATGACACTGGACAGTTTATGCACATGTACCTTCATGATGCTATTTTGTGTGTGTGTGTTAGAAGAGAAAAATCAACTTTAATGTATAGTAGCTCGAGATAGATAGTTTGTGACAGGTTTTAATAGAAAAAAGAGCCTCCTATCAGTAGACATAGAATGGTCTGCCTAAAGCAAAGACGTTATTGCAGGCATTTCTAAGTAAAGGGAATATTTTTTTCCAGCATGTTGGAGAAAAGTCTTTGAAAACCTACTTTTGGACCATCACATCGTACTGAAATGAAAAGGGTTCCACTTACCTAAATTTGTCAGAAGCAGCGCAACTTTTTCATAGAGCTGTAAAATAAGTTTTATCCATTTAACAGATGAACCGTAGATATTCTAAAACTCTATAATTGTAGCTATATAATATATAATTAAATATATTAATAATTATAAAGGAAATAGGTAATCAAGCCAGGAAGGAGTGAAAATAATTTCATTAGCCACCCATTGTTCAAACAGTGAGAATATTGTGAACAACTGCACCTTTTCAGGGCAAGTCAGAAATAGGCAAGGTGCAATTTTACTATTTTTTAAAATCTCACTCCTGATCTTGGGGTGGATAATTCTGTAGTTTCAAGATTAGCTGCCACTCATTTCCAGTTTCTTAAGGGAGGCGGGGCAGTTGCAGCACCCTGAGGCTCAGCCTTCTGAGCAAAGAATCGCTAAGACTGTTTCTGATGACTTAGATCCCTGGCCTCACTGTTTAAGGAGTGTAGAGCATTTATCAGTGCTGAGGGATTAGACATTACGGGAACTCCCAGAGCTCATGGCACTCTGCTTTTTCTGAGGGAATCTCCTCAGAAAGGGTATAAATTGAGAGAAAAGTAAGTGCTGTCTCTCTAAAAAAGAAAAATGATGCATGAAAAGGAAAAAGGGAAGTTGCTCTAATGGACTTGAACAGAACAGAAATGAAGACTGCATTCAGATTAGTTAAAATCAGACTAACATTGGCCAGGCTGGAAGCATAGCTTCACCACCCAGCTGTGTAGGATGGGCCCATTACCTCACTCTTTCTGCAGGTCACTGTTGCCCTTTCACGGAGGTGGGATGGGTGTGGGACTCACTGACCTTCCTTAATTTCAGAATTCTCTCATCCTGAATTTCTTCTAACTACAGAAATAGCAAAATACTTAGATTGTTCGACTCTAAACTTCTGGCTGTGACTATTTGGCTCTATCAAGGTATATGGTTTTCTATATTAAGACAAAGTTAATATTTCCATTACATCAAATTTCCTGTATAGAAACTTCAGATTCTTACAGCCTAATGTTAAACGAGATCAGTACATTTTTCAGTAACAAAATCTGTGGTATAGATTAGTCATAATCACTTGACCATAAAAATTCAACCCTGTAAACAATGAATAAAACAGATATTCTAATCAAGCATATTTTAATATCATAGTAAAATTCTTGGTTATATAATTATCAAGGGCCATTAGATTTGACTAGTGACACAACCATTTTTAGAAATATGTTTTGATCCCTGGTTCACCCTTTATATTTTTCACACTGACATTTCACTTGGTACATTTGTCTCAAAGTTCTCGGGAGCTGATGACATGTCATTGTCACTAGGGTATAAACACTGGAAAAATTGCCATTTAAGAAAGGAACAGCACAAAGATCAATAAAAGATTGATACTAAGTTTTTGAAAAAAAAAAAGGTAAAATATAATAGGGACACAGTAGGAAGCCATAGTATCAAGTGAATTCCTTCAATATATGTCAAAGATGCAAATGAGGATACAGCAGGGAAAGGTAACACATACAGAGGAAGGGTGGGAGAGCTTCAGATGAGTAGTCTATGGAAAAAAACTGATTTTTCATCAGGTAGTTGAGCTAAAATCTGAAAGTGGTTGGTTCTGATAAGAGCAGCAGAAAAATGTTAGTTTCCAAACTTGATATAACAAATTCTTTTTCTTCTTTCTAAATTTAACCTTTTATCATTAAATGATGACCTTCCTTGTCTCTTTTAATTGGTTTTAATATGAAGACTGTTTTATCTGATGAAAGTATGGCCACTTCTGCTTTCTTTCAGATTTCATTTCCACGGAATATCTTATACCATTCCTTTACTTTCTGTCTATGGGTATCCCTAGAGGTAAAGTGAGTTTCTTCTAAGAAACATATAGTTGGATCTTACTCTTTTTATCCATTCAGTCACTCTTTGTCTTTTAACTGGAGAATTTAATTCTAAGGTAATTATCCACAGGTAAAGTCTTACTACAACCATTTTGTAAGTTGTTCTCTAATTTTATTGTTTATGCCACAAATTCTAATTGTTAATATCTGTAACTGACAGAAAGCTTTCTGACTTTAAGGATATGTCCAAAACAAGCTATGAGCACTTCTAATTTAGCCTTTTCAGTCTGGTTGATGCGTGTGTGTGTGTGTGTGTGTGTGTGTGTGTGTTCTGATATAAGCCATATTTTCTGATTTCCTTTTGGTTTTCACCATTCATAGCATAATGACATATCTGATCCATATTGGTATGGCTGAGTAAAAAGAATGGTAATAACTTTTATTCTTCTCCTGAGATATGTCCAGGGCTGGTCTACCTAGCTTGTAATCAGCATACTAAGTTGTTCTTTGGTCACTAGTGAAGCTTGACAGAATTGAAGCAGTATTAAAAAGAGCAAAAAAGCTACACTATTCACTCCTATTCTCTCTGTTTTTGAAAAACAGTGATGCCTCTGTTCACAAACTTAATTTGTTTTACAATTTTGGGGAAGATGGCCAGGTTTGTGTTTGTGCAGAGAAGATAGCCATGGTTGTGTTTTTCACTTGATATGGAGTTTGTGAATGGAAGCAAAATTTTGTTGGACACTTTTGTTTGAGATCTGAATTGTTTGTAAACAGAAGCGTTTGTGAAAGGAGATATTACTGGAGTAAGGAATAAGATGCGAGCCATTAAGTGTCTCTTAACCAGTCATTAAGCAGCATAAGATCTCATTAGAGCCCACAGAACTTTTGTAATATAGTAAGAATTTTATGTTTAAAGCAATACTACATAAAAGTAAATATACATCATCAGATCCAGAAAATAAGCATCACACATAGATTTGCTTCTTCAATTATCACTGGAAAAATGCAATAAAAAGCCAGAAACAGTATGTGTGATTCAAAATAATTATATTATTTAAAACTTAGAGTCCTTAATGAATATTATCAATGTAACTCACAAGGTTTCTATGTTCAGTTAATGAAAAAGTATTCATGGTTAGTGTTTGAGTGGTTTTATTTTTTTGAGAGGCCATACTGGTCAAAATTTTAAGTAGCTGAAAACAATTTAAATAGTTGTAAAAATGTGTAATACTGGGTCATGAAAGTATCTTAGCTTGAGCAGTTTCAGAAGACGGTGCAGACTTAGTTCTGAACTGTTCAAAGCTATGTTGTAGTCACTAGTCTGCCACCCATTATGCTGAGATTTGCTTTCCAAGGACGTAAGTTATTGTTTGTTGATATTTTGATGAAAACTGTTCCAAACTATTTTATACACTTGTTATTCCTCAGAATGGAGCTCACAAAGCTTCAGGGCATATGAGAGAAGGGTATATGTGTGTGCAAAAGTGAGGGTGTTTCAAGAGAGAGGGTCCAGAAGGGTCAGACAACTGGCCCATGCCTGAAAGGGTCTGCGCGATGCTGCATTTAGAGTTTTTATGTAAGTTTTTTTTTTTCTTTCTTCCCCTTGCTGTGGCTTGTCATTTCTGTTCTCATCTGTTCTGTATTCTCGAATAAGTAATCTCAGTTACTCTAGTTTGATGTTGCCTGGGAAATCAGAACACCAAAGTTCACACTTCATCTAAAATCAATGAAGAGAGACCCTCTACAGAATAATATGTGTTAGTGTCAGTGTGCAGCTTCAACAGCTTCCACTTTTGCTATTTGGAATCTCTTTGTTAGATAAAAGATATAAAGTGTACAGTAGCCTAACGCCTAGCACACAGTAGTTGCTTTGTAATAACAGTAAATATATATTTAACTTGCTCTCTATGCCTGCTTTTTAATTTTTAGTTTAACTTCCTCTTTTCTTGGCTGTGTCTCTAGAAGTAGAGGATTCTAAATAAGTGATTTCAGTTAAAGTATTACTCCAACAACATTGCTGCCTGTTCAGTATGCACAGGCAAACACCTATTTTTAGACACAGTATATGAACACAGAAATTTATTTCTTAAGAGGATGTATAAGCTATTATTATTATTTTTGGCCTTCTACATGCTAAGTACACTTCTACCACAGAACTACCTCCCCAGCCCAAAATTCAATTTCAATGAGACACTGAGGAAAGATGATAAAAATACAGCAAGCATTAATTCATTGCATCCTTCCTGGACCAAGACCTTTTGAACTCTCTGGCTGTTTGGTTAGTTTTTCAGTGAATCGCTCTTCTGCCCAATGTGTTTTTCAGGATTAACTCAAAGGCCACTGAGCTGTGTGTCTGTACACAAGGTTTGGGGGAGGTTGTGTGAGGCGCCCGGGTGGGGCCCAACATCCACTCTGAGTCACCCCCACCAAGGAGTCACGCATCATCACTTCAAAGCGATCAGCTAATATTTCTGTTTTCTTTTTCAGAACTTCGGATTTTGAAACTTTGTTTTCTAAAACAAGAAAGCAGTTCCTGTGTATGTTATCACTACTAATAACGAACTGCCTGTTTTTCATTATCTCAGTGGTTACTAGCAATCATAACTAAAGCTCTTTATTACTGGGTAGGTTGAATTCTCTTAGGAATCACACCAGGTTTATTGGCTATGAAAGTCAGGACTGTTTAAAGGCTTTAAAAACTTAACAGTCTACGGGGATAAAATTGTGTTGAGAGGAGCATTAAATTATTTGGCCTTAGAAAGTCCTAGTTCTTTTCTAGTGACATGAGCATTTCAGTACCTTGGCCTAAATTTAGTACATAAAATAAATAAGGAGAGGGATCTATAATTAATTGAACATCTACCCCATGCCTGACACTACTTGGCACATACCTTATCTCATTTATCCCTTGCTAAAAACTTCAAAGGTTGGCAGTATTATGTACAGTTGACTTCCAAGTCTAAGGTAATAAAACAAGGAAAGCATGTGGTGTCGCAGAGGGTGACCAGTGTGATAGAGAAACAGGGCGAGCCGGTAAGGAGGCGGGGAGGCGGGGAGCCGTCAGCTGGCAGGGGTGTGTGGCAATCTTCCGCAGGGTGACGGGGGAAGGCTTTATTTGAAAAGTAGCATTTGAACAAAGGCCTGAAGGAGGCGAGGTAGTCCAGGGAGGATATGAGAACCCCAGGGACAAAAGTGGTGGGCCCAGCCCTGCACATGCAGGGGCTGGCACCAGTGGTCAGGATGAACAGGAGGAGAAAAGGTCTGAGGGCCTGTGAAGCCATCGTGAAGATGTGATTTCATTTTCGTGGTACTGGGGATTGTACCCAAGGCCTCTGCTACATCCTCAAGCCCTTTTTAATGTTTACTGGACACCCTAGGTCACCAAGCGGCCCAGGCTGGGCTCCTGGGGATGGTCCACCACTCCCGGCTGAACATGTGAACTTCTCCTCTCTCCGAGAGGAAAGCCGTGAACCTTGGGGTCAGAAAGGTGAAAAGGCCTGGGTTGAAACATACAATTTTAAAAAGCCTGAAATCTGCGTAAGCACCACGGGTCCCCCTGCTGTTCTCCTTGGGGGTGATCTGAAGGAATGCTTCAGATACTGGCTACCTTACATCCTTCAAAACCAAAAAGAAAGAAAGCTGCCTCCCAGGACCTGAGCTGGGTCTTCTAAAGGCATTGCTTCTCTAAATTCCTCCAAAGGAAAAATCCCATGATAGCTGATTGGAAAAACAAGACAACTAATGTTCAGAGAGGTTCGTGCCTTTTTCCAATTTTACACTGCAGGAAGTCCCGGCATCTAGACACCAATCAAGTCTTTCAGAGCTCCAGACCCGAGGGTGTCTTCACGCCAGGCACTTGGTGAAGGACCCTCAGTGTCACGTGACCAACCCACCCCTCTGAGGCCAGGTCTCTGTAGCAACAGGAGCAAACTGTCCCGGCAGCCTCCTCCTTTGCCCTGCTTGGCTTATCACCTTGCGGCTGGCTTACCACATTCAGCAGCATAATGATACAGAAGTTGATGCACACGGCAGTCCCCGTGGTGGCCACCTGAGAGTTGTTCCTGATTAACGCCCACTTAAAGGCTGCGAACGTGCTGACGGTCACCACCCGGTAGATGACGATCCCGAACACGGCTGCGATCACCACGCAGATCTAGAGGGAGATGAGGAGACCCAGTGAACTGCCTGGTGGATAGGAGGGGATCCTCGTTCCCTGAAAGTCTTCTGATACAAAAAGGACGCAAGTCAAGGAGGTACCGACTGAAGAAACTGCACTGCACTTAATACTTTGTTTTCTTGTTATTTAGGAAAAACACTGCGCGAAGGCTGAAAATCTGAGCTGTGGGATAACACATTTTAAAGGAGAATACTTGCCCAGGAAGTCCAACCAATATTTATTACTGCACTGGAGTCCTGCTTCTGCTCACAGCTGTTTTTTGTTTTCCCTTTACCCCAGGATAAAAGCAAAGCCCTTGCAGGGGGTTCTGGTCTCATTGCTTCACTTGGGCTAAGCACCCTTAGGCTTCACGATCATTTCCTTTGCCCCAGGCCCACCCACCCAATCTCCTGCCAGATATACTCACTGGAGCACAGATACATGCATGCGACCCATTAACACCTGCTCATCCTTCTTCACTTCACAGCTCAAGTACCACTTTATAACTAAGTCTTTTATGACCCCTAGATTATTTTCCTTGTTGCTATTGTACGGTACCTCCACCACACGCATATGTCTTCTTCCAGGATACCACTGATAATTTCTCACACTTTGATTGTTAATCTGCCCACTGGAAAGTAAGTTTCGGAGAGCAGACATACGGTGTGTGTGCTTCCCACGGTCCCGGAGGCACCCTGGCTTACATGGAGGTATACTGTGTGTGCCTAGTTATTTGCTATTGATGGAACCAACTGTGTAGCGATGAGTAGTATCTTAGTAAACACCCTGCCCTGAAGACTTCATGGTATTTGAGAACCATACGGCGTTGCTCCTATCTCAAGAAAATCACGGGAATCTGAGACTCTGAAAAGCCCATGAGTGACTCCCTTAATGTGTCTCAGGGTTCTGAGCCTACTTAATTATGGAGGGCCACTTAATTAGAGCCAGCTTTCAGGGCAGCCTCTGCCAATTTAAGAGATTCCTTTCTTCAAGGTCTGTTTTGCACGTTTTATTTTCTGCTTACTTCTAGGGGGATATACTCTAAAAGCTGAGTATGAGCCTCAGTTGGAGCTTTGTAGTAGTAACATAACAAAGAAACAAAACCTGCTCACATCTTCACCCCAGAACTGTTGATGGGGAGATGGGAAATCTACACAGGGTCAGACATGGGGGGATATAGCGGGGTGCAGCCAGGGGACTCCGTGCAGTCCTGGCTCAGCCACAGCCCAGTGTGTGACCCTGGGCTTCTGCTCTCCCTGGCTCCAGACTCCTATCTGCAGAGAGGAAAGCTTACTCTATGGCTCTGGATTGATGGAAGAAACAAGATGGTAAATATGAACGTGGTAAAGCATGGGGCAGTCGCCTGCAAAGCGCACCCTGTTGCAGGTTCGGGTTTGAGTTTCTAGAGCCGAGGATGCTCCAGATGACCGGCTGGGCCTTCCGTCTCCCTAGCCTCTTCACTGGCAGAGAGGGCAGTTGTAGTAGTTTATCCTTCCCACTCGGGGGGGCTTGGACATCCGTTTATACACTTGTCATCTGAAAAGAGGACAGGATTCTAACCCTCCCTATGGCTCTAAAATGTCATTTCTGCAGATTTGGGTATGCTTTGTTCACAGTGTCAAAGTTGATCACAGAATGGCTTCCCTTTAGGAAAAGCTAACGACTCAGCTCTGAGTTCGTGTTTTTCAAACTGATACAACCATGGGTGAACCTGGAAGTCAATTTTAGGAGGTTATTTCTGGCATTTAAAAAATGGACAGTGATAAAGCAGAACAAAACCACTTACTGCATGCTATAAAGGTAAACACTGTCAGTTTTATAAATCTAGTTGCTTAGAATATACTGGATTTTGATAGAGAATGTTTTTCTTATTGTATGGGGATGGGGAAAAGTTTGAAAAACACTGTTGTAGATTCTGTTTTGCATTTTCAGTTCCTTTCAGTGAGGCATAGTGGGACAAGCGGCAAGAACATCAGCCCAGAGCAGAGGGTCTGCGGGCCCGCTGGTGGGCCCCGGCTCCCGTTCAGAACTTGGAAAGGGCTGTACCATTCTTGCCCACCAGCTGGAGCAGTGAAGACTAAACACTAACATTCGAAAACACTCTGTAGAATGCTGCAAACATCTGATGTGATTACTGGCATTACTATAGGTCTGTACCTACGAAAGAAAAGTTTTAAAAGTAGCTTCACACCATAAAAAATATTCCAGATGCAGAAACGATAAGTCTGCTGCATTTATCGGCAAATGCTTGATAGGGTTCTGGCTTTCCTGAAATCGGGTTCATCCGCTCTTTCTTGGAATACTTGGCTTCAAACTGAGGTCGTATTTCTTCCTAAAGAACAAGCAGACACCATTACACAGGGAAGAGGTGCTCGCATAATAAGGAAAAAACCTGGGTCAGCAGCTGCCACACTAATCAGTAAACGGAGAGGTGGGGTTGGAGATGTAGGCACATGGGACTAGAAATTGGCCACTGGAAGAGTATTCACAGCAGGGATGGCGAACCTTTTAGAGCTTTCAGTGATAACAAAGAGCCGGCTGTGGCACGTGTGCCATAGGTTCGCCACCCCTGATATGATGGAGGTCAAGATTCACTGTCATCAAAAGCAATGTGGTTTAGCCTAACAGCTACATTTTTCTGTTATCTTCTTAAACCAGGACCGAAGAAAGGAGCAGAATATTTTAAGAGACCCCTGCTGTCCCTAGTGATTTGGAGCAACTAATAAGCTTTTATTTATTTCTAGGCAGCGACATGGACATCAGGACACAGAAATCTTCAGAACAGGAGGCTGTTCAGAATCCATTTTATTAGGTGTAGTAACAATATAATTATTTTCCTAAAATGTATCTTGGGTATTTTTAGATTTAGGTGATTAAAAAACATGCTGAACCTGTTTTGTATTAAGTTCTTATAGGAATCATTCACTATTAATCAATAAATGTTTTTGTTTGTTTGTTGAGATAGGGTCTCACTATGTAGCCCAGGCTGGCCTCGAACTTGTGGCGATCCTTCTGCCTTAGCCTCCCAAGTGCTGGGATGACAGGCGGGTATCACCATACTGGGCTAATGAACAGATTTAAAAGGTATTCTTAATTGTTTTTGAAAACAAGGGAAAGCCTTTCAAATCCAGCTAAAATTATGACTCCTACCTGAGATTTTTTGTTTCAGTGAGCTGACCCCCATCCCAATGTGACAAGCTTTGATAAAAAAGCAATTGTGGGATTAGGAAAGGATCATCATCCAGAGGGTACACTGGAGTGGTTCTAATTAAGTACACGTTCTCCCTGAGTGCCTTGGAAGAAGATGGAAAATGAGCAGAACCAGGTGGTATAGGGATTGAGTTTATCCGGGGAAAAATGCTCAAGGCCCAGATGATGGTGCTGATCAAAAGTGAAGGAGTGTGCTGTGGAGAGGACCGGGAGAAGGGGAGTGGCTAGGAGAAGCCTCCCTTCTCAGGGAGACGCGCTTATAGGCAGGCCGTGCCTTCTCCTGAGTGTTTTATAAACAGATTTACAATCAGTCCTCTGCTTTGTTGGGAAACTCCTCCAGGGTCCCCGGCTCTGAGTGTCCAGGAGCATTGGGTTGCTCCCGTGGAATCAGGGCTGCACAGCCAGGCCTGTGCTCCCGGGAGGGAGCAGTGTGCTGACCTTGTCCCCCCTCCCCTCCCCTAAGTCATCTATTGAAGTCCAACCCTCAGGACTCCCGGCTGTGATCACATTTGCTGTCAGGGGCTCAGCTGAGACAGTTAGGTTAAAATGAGATCAGTAGTGTGGGCCCTGAACCCCTCACCGAAGCAGGACTTAGCGAATCTGCAGCCTGTACCTGCGAGGGAAGGGCTATAGTACTCGTGGGCCTTTAATTCACCGAGGAACCAAAATGCCTTTAACAACCTTGTCTTTTAAAACTTCCAGCACAGATGGGTATTGAAAATGCTTTATGAGTAACCTCGGTGAAGACGATTCATGGAATGCATTTCTTAGTGATCTGGAGTTTTTGGAGGACTGGACGTTGAAGCCACAACCTTCACAATAAGCTATATTCCCAGCCATCCTTATCTCTTATTTTGAGACAGGGTCTCCCTGGTTGCTAAGGTGCCCAGGCTGGACTCCCACTTGCAGTGGTCATGGCTCAGCCTCCCAGAGTGCTGGGATTACAGACACACACCACCTCGCCCCACTTGATGACTGACTTTTACAAAAATCCCGAGGTAAATGATAACAAACCTCCTCTTCTTCCCAATCTATCAAATCCCAGTCATAAGCAATTACTGCTCGACGTCTTTTCCAAAATTCCAGGAAGACTGTTGCTGGAAGAAGCAGAGAAAGACAAAGACACGTTCAAATAAAACAATGCCATTAGCTTTGTTGCTAAATAATCAGGCCATTGTAAAGAGCAACAGTTGTTTTATAAGCATCTGTGACTATCAGAATTCCTAGCTAGCCTTCATTAAATACGGAACAATTTCTGAGAATTTTTAAGCCTGAGTCAAACACTGGAGATTTCACTTAGAATTAAGTTAAGCAGGTTTGAAATTTGAGGTACATTAGGAAAACACAGCCTCTGTGATGTAAAAATATAGAAAACTGGATTACCAAAATCGTTCTAATTGACAGCATTTATTTCTTTGCCTTGTTTTGTGAGACAGGGTCTCACTATGTAGTTCAGGTTGGTCTTGAACTCACTATGGAGCCCAGGCTGTCCTCAAACTTGTGGCGATCCTCCTGCCTCAGCCTCCCAAGTGCTGGGACTGTAGGTGTGTGCCACATCCAAAAGTATTTATTTTTTAAAAGCAAAGAGTAGGTAGGGGTAGAAAAGCAAAACCAAAATTCATCAGTTTACATGGATTTGACTGACACTGATTTCCTGGCACAAAATCTTCCTCACAGTAAGTATCTATATATAAATATATTTTAAGTACACATTTACATTTATTAATATTTTTATATTTAATATACATTTTAAAAATATCCTTAGATGAAATTAAAATGTTTGAAAAACACGCAGCTGTATCTCCCGAGCGTTTTAACCATTAGTGCCAGTTAAATAAATGGTGATAATACTAAAGTTTGAGACTCATTATGCTCGCCTCTTGTCATAAGGCACGATTCTGTGTGAAATGCCACTCTGATTATTTGTTGGCAGGACTGAGACGGAGAGGACTGTCCTCTAAGATCCGTACTTGGCTCCTCCACAGTAAGAGAACGAACAGCTCCTGGAAACACAGGGCGCGGCCATGCTGGATTTCCCAGGCACCCCTGCGGCCAAGTGAAGCCGAAGGTCAGTCCCGGCCTCTGAACGGAAGTGAGGGGGCATGTGCTTCCGCCTGCCGATGGTTTAAGGCCCCAGCAGGTACTTTTTCCATCCTTTCCTCTTTTGGACGGGTGAAACCCAAGTGACCCAGTGGGTGACAAGACCTGGAGCACCACAGACGGCGCTTGTAGGAAGAGAAGAAGCCCTTGAAGGTCCAGGAGGAGAGGAGCCGTGTGCCAGCCCGGGGGAGGGCTCACCTCAGCTTTTCCAAAAGAGGGAAGCAGCTTCGGGGTGTTTTTATGCCGCAGAAGGATGTTAGGTCTGTGCTGGAGTGGCCTGACCTTATCCTATCTCACATGGATGAGACAGAGAAAAGGGAACATTCCACTTGGTCACTGCAGCACTGCACTGAAGGCATGAAAATAACCTGTATTTCACTTTCTTTACAGATCTTAGAACAATCTGAAGCCACAGAATCTAAAACTTTATTAATTTTACTCATGACAGAGTTTTTTATCCCTTTTTCCTCTCCCTTTTCTATTCTCATCTCCACCCTGTACTATTACCTAACCATCCCACAAAGGAGGTTCACCTGAGGTGCTAATGCCAATCCCAGATAACATTGTCTTCCATTAGCTGTCGTATTAGGAAAATCTGAGCCTTGTGCTCTTCCAACACAGGATGGGGCAGTGTTCAGGTAGGTTGGAGTTTAAACACAGTATTCTCCCCTTATCCAAGCAGTTTGCATTCCAAGACCAGAAGAAGCCAGAACTTACACAGCACCAAGCCCTATAAATAGGACACTTGTTCCCCTCTAAACAAGCTCAGCGTACATTCTTTTTCCTTATTAAATAAAAAATTGTCATCTTTATTAATCATACCACAGCGATATATGCACACCCATGTTTATAGCGGTGCAATTTGTAATCACTAAATCTTGGAAACAGCCCAATTGCCCATCAGTTGGAGACTGGATAAAGATGTGGTTGTTTTTTTTTTAATAAAATGGAGTACTTAGTATGAGAAACTAGAGACATTTATAGCTAAAAGGATGCACGTTGAGGCCATACTCTAAAGTGAAATAAATAGGACACACATGTGTAAATAGTTTCTCTGGTGTGAAAAACTAAAAGTGTAAATAAGGTTCAAAATGTAAAATTGATAATGTAAAATAGGAAGAAAAGGGGCAAAGGGGAAGGGAAAGTGGGAAGGGCAAGGGAAAGGAAAGAAGGGAAAATAAAAAATATGAGAAAAGGAAAAAATGGAAACAAAGTCTTTGTAAATAGGGAAGGGTGGAGGGGGTGAAGGGAGGGGAGGGAAATGGGGAAAAAATAAGAACCAAGGTACATCATGTAAAGGTACAAGATCCCAATGATGAAGGTAACTGTATTGTATACCTAAAATGTACCAATAAACTTAAAGAAAAAAAAAAGAATTGTCATCTTTTTACTTAAAGGAAGCACTTTACAGTATCTCTTTGGCATATCCAAATAGCTAGTATCACTTCTCTTGTACTTTGCGGTCCTTATTAAGGACAGTCATTAAGTAAAACAAGGCCACTTCACACTGTGACAGTGTGAGAACGGAGAGGACTACTCAGTGACTGACAGGCAGTTGGGTAGCAAAGGGAACACTGTGATTTAAAACCTACAATTCGTTTATTTCTTGAATGTTGTATTTAATATGTTTGGACTGGGGTGACCATGGGTAACTGAAACAATGGAAAGCAAGACCACGAATAAAGGGGACTACTGTGTCAGGGCACTCTTGGCTTGGAATCATGCAACACGGAGGTGTGCTGAAAAGAGACACAAAAGGAACATGACACAGAATGCTTTGCAGGCCACCTCCAATTATTAAACAGAACAATCACTGTAAAATTCCAGTAAGTCTGCAACAGACTGCTATGTATTTACTAAAACCAGTGCTTACCCTCCTAAGCACAGTTACATTTCCCAGCATTCGCTGTAATTAGATGTATCCATACATCTAATTGCATGGAAGAATTAAAAAGTAGGTATATTTTCCCTGTGCTCCCTTCTTCTTTTCTCCTTTTGAGGATTCAGAAGGGGATGGAACCTCAAGATGAACCCATAGGAATGACCACATGGAAAACTGCCTGCCAACCAAGATTGCCCTCTATTGAATGTTAGGTTTGGTGTCTGTGTATTACAGCAGCTAACTTTACTCATCCTAACCAATTTGGGTTTCTTTCTGGAAAACATAGCCATGGTTAACATTCTGAAAACAGGAAGAAAAAAATCTCACTGAGTAACTATCTGCCACTATCTCACTAAAGTTATCTACAGAGTATTATACAGAAAAACTTCCTTTTCAAATACATATCTTCAGTTCCATGGCAGGGTGGAAATGCTGTATTTCTTAGTCATCAGCACACAGGTAGAAAACGACAGAACTGGAATTTAGTCCCAGTTTGCCTAAGTCTTAACTACCAGGCTGCACGCTAATCTGGGAACTCAAATTTCTGCTGAAATGAGCAGAGCCAAAAAGACAAAGCAAGCCTACTCTTTCAACTGCAGTCCTTCTTTTGCTGAAACTGGTTATAAATACAAAGGGTAACATCCTAGGGTGTGGTCATTGTGTGAGCTTGGGATTTACTCTCTCTTCTTCCCTCAGTTCTGTACTTTTTACAGAGAGGTGTTGGAAAATCCCACACTCATTCCCAAAGCTTCTCGGGATACACGACAGGTAGCATAATAGGATTCAAAAGGCCTAATTTGATTCTTCATATTAAAAATGTAATCTCTAGACCGGGAATTTAGTTCAGTGGTTCTGGCACCAGCCTTGCAAGCATAAGGTCCTGAGTTCAATCCCGGTTCCAAAAAAAAAAAAAAAGAGTAATCTCTGGTAGTCCAGAGGAGAACTGTGTCTAATGCTATAAGATAATTGTGAAAGTATTTTTTCCTTTATGTCTGAAAAAATCAAGAGGCTTAAAGGTTCAATAGTCTAACTTTCCCCCTTAACTTATCAAGAGATTATGCTTAATTTGTTTATATAATAAATTAAGGACTGGCCAGTGACAAAATGAACAGCATGTACAGAAGAGAAAGGTTGATTTTTTGGGGTACCAGGAATTGAACTCAGGACCTTTGCTTGTAGGACAGGTGCTGGAACCACTGAACTAAATCCCTGGCCCCTGGTTGATTTTTATTTTAGAATGTTGATCTATAGTCTGATATCTCAAAGCATTTTTAGAAACCTCTTACTTTCCTGGAAAGTAGAATAACTTACTTCACACATATAATCATTTTTCTACCAATACTAATTTCCTTTCTTAAAAAGTGAAGTTAGTAATATTAACAGATTTCATTTTGTCCAGTCTTCTATAATTTTCTGAGAATGTTTATTTATTTAGAATGTTTATGCTTCTCGGAAACTTAGAAGCCTGAAGTCACCTCCTGAGAACTTATCTTGCAAAATCTGCAACAATTGGTCAAGTTTAGCTAAGTGTCACAAACCCAAAGCTGAAAAGGCCAGATAGATCAATACTGAAAGAAGAAGCCACAAGCTAGAAACCAATGGGAACTGGGACAAATGGAGGGAGATGTGGCATCATGTAACGTGGTAGGTGTCCCTCACTCCCCATGGACTGTACTGTGGAAAGATCTTCAAATTTTTAAAAAAGAGAAACCACAAAAATGTACATTTGTGTGAATCTCTCAATATAAAAATGATAATAGTTTACTCACATTTATCTAAAAAACTGGTGAAAGTCAAACAATGTTTTTTATTGGTAGCTAATTTGCAATATCCAAGATAAGCCACTGGCAATAATAATGCAAATGAATGTAAATGAGTGACCGGAGAGTTTGTGAAATGCCCCCAAATGTCAAAATGAGGTAACATTAGGGTCCAAGAGGGCCAGAAATATTAGTGCACTTTAAGAAGCTGAAACTTAATCATTGGTATTGGGACCTATTCAGGAGCATCAATGTGTCCACACTTGAAAGTAGCCAACTTGTAACTTAGAAAAAAAAATGAAGGTAAGGAAAATATGTTTGGCAGAGTTTGATCTAGGGTAAGATAAGAAAAAAAAATCTTCAAAGCAGAATGGAAGAAGACATCTAATACAGAAAGGAACAAAAGTAAGAAATACAGAAGATATCTTGTCCAAGCCAGAACACAGTGGAACAGCACCTGGAAGAATGGGTTTTCTTTTTTTTTTCCCCCATTAACTTTATTGGTACATTTTAGGTATACAATACAGTTACATTCATCATCGGGATCTTGTACCATTATATGAGGCTCTTGGTTCTTATTTTTTTCCCCTTCCCTTGCCCTCCCTTCACCCCCTCTACCCTTCCCTATTTGCAAAGACCTTGTTTCCATTTTTTTCCTCTTCTCATATTTTTTCCTTTCCCTTTTTTCCCTTCCCCTACCCCTCCCA